GTAGCTTATGATGTTGCTGGCTGGAATACCTTCTAGTTCTTCAGAAAGGCGTTCGAAATACTCTGTTATTGTTACCCTCGTAACACCAGCCCGGGCTCGTTTTATATTTTGGCACATTCTCTCCGACAGCATATGCGAATGTCGTTTCAAAAAGCTATATGCGAACTCTTTACCAGGAAGATTGTCCTTGAAACGGGGCACCACCCTACCAGCTCTATTTAAATATTGTTGGATAACCAATCTTAAATCATAGGTATCTAAGGGGTAGCCCCACTCACTGCATGTAAGTAATTTTTCCGCAATACATTTCTTTTCGGCTTCACTTAACACTGTTTGACCTCCTTGTCTTTTAACATTCACATTTGCGAGGCGTCTTTGCAGAACGGTGTAAGGAATTTTGTGTTTTATAGCGGCTTGTCGAATACTATACCCGTTGTTATTAACATCATTTTTAGCCTCTTTAATGATGTTTGGATCAGGTTTCTTGTAAAGTTTTTGTCCTGCTTTGGGTTTATATTCTCTAGGCATTTTGATCCTATTGACCCCAGCCCTTGATCCTATTGACCCCAGCCCTTGATCCTATTGACCCCAGCTCTTGATCCTATTCACCTCGATAACCTGAAAATCGTGCAACGAAATAGAAAATATTTTTCACTTTTGTTTTTGCTTACGAATAAACTAAAATAATTTTGTGTGCCTTAGTTACTAACCTGTTGGAGTTAATTAGGCCAACTACTCTCAATATATGCTTCTCAAATTCGTATTTACAGACAAAGTTTTGGCGACAATGAAAACAGATGACTGACAGTACTTCTAATTAAGGCCTGGTTTACAGTGCTACCAACTGCTGAATGATAAAATATTGGTAACCTTTATGAGATATAGAGTTAGGCAACCAATCAAACTCAAATAGAAAGCATTCATTACGATATTAAGGTTTCGGAAACTAAACTGATAAACTCCCTCTTTTTGATCCTATTCACCACAGCGAATCTATTCACCCCATTTTACGGTACTTAAATTAAAAGGTAATCAAAAATAAAATTACTCTTGATCAATTTTCATATAGGTACAGTTCAAATGTACATGAAAATATTTTACATAAATTTAATATGAATGACTGTTGTGCCATCAGCTGTGTCAGCACTCCACTTCCTAGTAAACTGAATTTGATTGGTTTAAATTCATAAGAAAAACATGATAGCCCTTGCCGGAATCTAATCGTCTGTTTAATGTATATTATGTTTGTTATGTATATCAAGCCTGATTTAAGTACCATTGTTAATATTTTGAGCAGGTATTAAAACAAGAATAATAAAGAGTTTTGGCAATATTTGAAAAGGGTCCTTAGATATCTTAAGGGTAACATCAATCTGAAGTTGACACAATATTTTAGTTGTGAATATATTAATTTCTTGAGTGATTCTATTAATCCTGACTAGGAAGGTGGAGATGATAATATAAACTATATAAAATGCACAACAGGATATTTATTTAAACTGTTTGAAATTTCTGTGATATGTTGGAATACAAAAAGGCAGTTGTCAGTAACGGCATCATCTACTGAAGCCGAATATATGGTTTTTCTTTTTGAAGAGGCTCTTTGGTTAAAATCATTAGCAGAAAATATGCATAAATATTAATATCAGAGTCAATTATGACCTAGGAGGATAACAATAGACCTCAATAAGTATTACAAATAATCCAACAAATCACAAAAGATCAAATCATATTGAATTGATCGTAATTATTATAAAATATTAATTTGTCCACAGAGAAACCACCAGCAGACATGTTTACCAAACCATTGATGCAAATGAAATTTGAGAAATTAGAATGGAATTAGGCTTAGTAAATAACTTAAATGGTTTGATTAGGTTTTTCTGGGTTTTCCCTAATCCGGAGCAGCAAATGCTGGACCGTAATTTTCCGCACAAAAGACACACATAAGGAAAGCAGGCCTATTTATGTTATACTAGGTTTAAGTTGTATTGCACTTTTAGTATAATTGATCAAATTTTTGAGGTGGCGTGTTGGATAAACTGATATTCATATCAGTGAAACAAAAATTCATAAATTGAACTTTGATTATTAGCCTATACTTTGCTAATTTATATCGCAGCTATGGATGACTGAATGTGTTTATAATAGTTTTTATATGTAAGATAAACAGATGAGGAATCGTTTACTTAAGAAAGGGTTTGTAATTCTTTGTCTTGATGTTGAGTCAGTTCGTATAGTTATTTCTATGAGTTCACACGCTCTGCTTTCCACGCTGTATTCGATATAATAAATATATTGAATATCGATAATTAACAAGTTCTTTTATTTCTTAGTCCATTTCCCAACAGAATTCACCTCTTATATTTTAATTTTTTTTTTCTAGAAATCTGGCAAAGGGAAAATTATGAAATTTTTCCAGAAGAAAGAGAAAAGTGAGAAGCTCATTATAGGAAAATTTCAAAATTTTCCATTGGAAAATCACTCCAGGAAAAATTCTGGGAAATTAACTGTTTTAGGCAAAATTCACCTTCTTACATTTTAATTTTCTTCTGGGAAACTGGCAAAAGGAAAATTGTGAAAATTTTCCAGAAAAAAGAGGAAAGTAAAGAGCTCATTATAGCAAAAATTTAAAATTTTCCCATGAAAAAACACTCCATAAAAAATTCTGGAAAACTGACAGAGGGAAAACTTTGAGAATTTTCCAAGAAAAAGAGTAAAGTGAGGAGCTCATCATAGGGAAATTTCGAAATTTTTCAGTGAGAAATCACTCCAGGGAAAATTCTGGAAAATTGACTTTTTCAAGTAAAATTAGGGAAAATTCATCCTCTCACATTTCAATTTTTTTCTGGAAAACTGGCAAAAGAGAAAAAAAGGGAAAGTCAGGAATTCATTATAAGAAAAATTTCAAAATTTTCCAATGGAAAATCGCTCCAGAAAAAAATCTGAAAAAATGACTTTTTCAAAATTAAGAAAAACTCATCCTCTCACATTTCAATTTATTTCTGAAAAACTAATAGAGCAAAACTTGTGAAATTTTTCCAGAAAGAAAATGAGTAGTTCATTATAAGAAAATTTCAAAATTTTCCAGTGAAAAATCACTCCAAGGAAAGTCGAGAGGAAAATTCTGAAAAATTGACTTTTTCAAGTAAAATTAAGGAAAATTCACTCTCTGACATTTAATTTTTTTCTAGAAAACTGGCAAAAGGAAAATTTTCAAAATTTTCCAGGAATAAAAGGAAAATGAGGAGCTCATTTTACGAAAATTTCAAAATTTCCCAGTAAACAATCACTCTAGGAAAAATTTTGAAAAACTAACTTTTTAAAGCAAAATTAAGGTGAATTCGCCCTCTTACATTTTAATTTTTTTCTAGAAATCTGGCAAAGGGAAAATTGTAAAATTTTTCCAGAAGAAAGAGAAAAGTGAGTAGCTCATTATAGAAAAATTTCAAAATTTTCCAGTGGAAAATCATTCCAGAAAAAATTCTGAAAAAATGACTTTTTTAGGCAAAATTCATCCTTTCACATTTCAATTTTTTTCTGGAAAACTGACAAAGCAAAAATTGTGAAATTTTTCCAAAAGAAAAAAGAAATTGAGGAACTCATTATAGGGAAATTTCGAAATTTTCCAGTGAGAAATCACTCCAGGGAAAATTATGGAAAATTGACTTTTTCAAGTAAAATTAATTGAAATTCGTCCTCTCATATTTCAATTTTTTTCTCGAGAACTGGCAAAAGAGGAAAAAAAGGAAAGTCAGGAGCTCATTATAAGAAAATTTCAAAATTTTCCAATGGAAAATCGCTTCAGGAAAAATTCTGAAAAAATGACCTTTTCAAGTAAAATTAAGAAAAACTCATCTTCTCACATTTCGATTTATTTCTGGAAAATGAATAAAGCAAAACTTGTGAAATTTTTCCAGGAGAAAGAAGAAAATGAGGAGCTCATTATAGAAAAATTTCAAAATTTTCTAGTGAAGAATCACTTTAAGGAAAGTCGAGAGGAAAGTTCTGGAAAATTAACTTTTTTAAGCAAAATTCATCCTTTCACATTACAACTTTTTTCTGGAAAATTGGCAAAGCAAAAATTGTGGAATTTTCCCAGAAGAAAGAAGAAAGTGAGGAACTCAATATAAGAAAATTTCAAAATTTTCTAGAGAAAAATGACTCCAGAAAAAATTCTGGAAAATTGAGTTATTTAAGCAAAGTTAAGGAAAATTCACATTTGATTTTTTTTCTGGAAAACTAGCAAAGGGAACATTTTTCAGGAAAAAGAGAAGAGTGAGGAGCTCATTATGGGGAAATTTCGAAATTTTCCAGTGAAAAATCACTCCAGGAAAAATTCAAAGAAAATTGACTTATTTAGGCAAAATTAAGGAAAATTCACCGTCTTACATTTTAATTTTTTCTGGAAAACTGGCAACGGGAAAATTTTGAAATTTTTACAGGAAAAAGAGGAAAGTGAGGAGATCATTATACAAAAATTTCAAAATTTTTCAATGAGAAATCACTCCAGGAGAAATTTATTTACCTATATATTTTTGGATAACTGAATAAACTCTTTTCTAAGTTAAAAAACGTATTACAAAATAATAATTCCGAAGGTGCTCTATGAATTAATTAATCTATGACTTAACTTTTTCTCTGTTATGACGTCATCGATGAAGTAAGTAAAAACCTTCATGCCGTGCAACGAACTATATGTTTGTTTGAAATTTCAGACAGAAATAAAAAACCTATTTTTGCAAAAAAAAAGGCAAATGATGACGTAAGTACAAACTTTCGTGAAATTAACTAACTAAAAATTGGTTTGTGCTCGAGATCACACATGACAGAAGTTGAAACTTAAATTAGGGTAGGTTAATAATTGAAAATACAGGTAGGTAAGCAACGTAAACAAAATTAAGTAGGCATGACAACAAAAACAAAAAAAAAAAGAAAACAAAACATTTATAGCACAACAAACATAATTCAAATTATCACAACACTTTTCCATTGGTTACCTCTTCGCTATTCACCACAACGATTCTGTGGTCGATTTTCGGTACTAATTGACAAGATTCCTGTTCGAGATCGTCCAAGGAAGCTCTGCGAGTTAGTTTGGCCGCGCCACCATGATACGAGTTAATATTATTATGAGAATGAGATGTGTCAATGGTACTGGCACGACGTAACGGAGGAGGCCCGTCCAATTCGCTACCGTCGAGCATTTTCACCAAGCTGTGCCTCCTGGATAATGTCACCAATGATTGTCGATGTTTTGATTGTTTTTTCGTTTTGCCTAGTCTCATGTTGATTGCCTGGAAGTGATTTTGGATTGCTAGGCCTAATTCGGGAGACTCACCCTCATCAACCTACAAAAACTCAACAGTAAAGCAATGCAACATTAAAAAATGTGCGGTTGTATACTAACCAGAACCTCTGCATTTTTTAACATGGTAAAGCCATCGCAGCCGTTGTGCAGGTAACTTTTCGTGGCCAATCTATAGTTTTGATCTAATTTTATGTATTCGTCTCCTACTCGCACGAAACTCACTTCTACTCGTTTTCCAGGTGGTTTGTTTGGATTGAATGCGAAACTGATACCGGCAACTTGCGGAAATCGACCTTCCAGCTTTGGGTACATACACACTGCGTTTTCTAAGGTTTCTAAAATTTGCTGACCTAAAAATAAAAAACTTTGTTCATAAGAAAATTGAAAATTTCAATCTGGGAACGCTACAAATACAAAGTTACAATCCACTATAACTACGGCTTCCAGGAAGAAACTATGTAGTTAGGATAAGAGTAGCGGATGTTTCGACTGTTTGGACTTTGTAGCCATTATTTATTGTTGTCAGTGACTACAAGTATTATTATGATTTTTTTGTTCATTACCTTCCTGAGTGCTTGTTTTGAATTAATGAATGAAATAAAGGCCTTTGGAATATTGAGTTTCTATACCTATTTTATGCACATCACCTCTTTTACTGATCAACGGAAAAAAATAAAAATAAAAATAAAACGTAATAAATAAGATAGACTCAACAAACTATATATTATATTTAGAATCAGGAAGAAAAGATCATGTAAACAACTATACAGTGTGTCCCAAATTGATGAGGAATGTATTAGGATATAGGAAACTATAACAGATATGAGGGAGGTTAAATAAGAAAAGTTTTAGACAATTGTTAGACGTTTAATAGCGTTTGCAGATTGAGTCTAGCTATTCACATCTTCGAGATATTTAGAAAAAACTGAAAAGTTGGTTTTTGAAAATAGGCTGTAAATCTTTTATTTTTGAAAATTTCTCAAATCTGTAAAAACACTCCAAAAGCGACTCTTTGTGCAGAATACGCATGTGCGATTAAATTTTTTTTTAGCACGTTTCGGTTTTCGGAAATTATCATCAACTTCATCATTTCTTATACCCGCCATATTCGGTTTTTATACCGTAAAATAGAGTGAAAAAATACAAAACCAACGATATAATAAACTTGACCAAAATAATTAATTTTGGCCATAGAAAATACGTTTTTATGTTTCAATCAACTTGGCAACATCGCATTACAGAATATTTAGTATAAGGAAGCAAATTGATTTATAAAATATAAATACAAATGAAAACAATAAAAATCTAAAGGAGTGATGTCAAGAGCCCGAGCTGGCCAAAGAACTGGACCGTGATTAGCAATGGGGTAGTATACTATGTATGAAAATCAGTAAAAAAACTGCTAGACATTATTCTATAAGCTAAATGGTGATGGTATAGTGGGATACTAAATTATTTTCCAGCATAGTGTCTATAGAATTAGTCAGAGAAGAGCGAACTGTAATTTGAATTTAGCGCCACAGCGGCGACCAATAGTATTCGAGCCGCTGATCATCTGGCAACGCTGCTCAAAATGTCTCTAAACGACAGCTGACTCCAACAGTTCAACGACGTGTGGTATCGTGTGACATGTGACATTATCACAGTAACTTGTTTACGTTGTTAATGTAGTACATTTGACGCTTCGTTCCTGACGGTCAATATCAGTGCAAATTGTGCGTTCTCAAATCCTTGATGTGTTGCCAGATTGGAAAAACTAACTACGTCACGAACTTTTATTTTCACGTAGGGGCGGGGCTTAGGCAAGGCGCAAATTGAGACGCGTATAGCGCGTGTGAGGTGACGCAGCACAGCGCGTTTTTTTTGTAACTACAGGATTCAAATGAATCGGCGCAAATAGACCTCTTGCACTTAATCAAAATTAGGTACCTATATAATTTATCTGTAACGAAAGTGTATTTTATGTACTACATAACAGTATGGTTGGTTAATTTTTTTAAAAATCTTGAAGTCAGAAATTGAAAGAAATAAAAGCTGATTATTTGAATGTTGGGCTATATTTTTACACCAATCAAAAATTACTGATTGTCAAATTTCCATGTTCCAAACGAATCTTTTTTTTTTTTTTTCTTGAACACATCGGACAAAAAAGGAGGTATATATTTATCAAAATCGCTTTACGTATCGGCTTTGGTACAGCCCTACTTTTGACTTGAAACTTGAAAGAGAAGAACGACATCTATTAATTGAAGTATCGACTAGTATCGACAATTTTCTTTCCTTATCTATAAATGCGAATTAAACAAAGAAATCGATATCTGTACTAATCCGGCACAGTATAAAGTACGAAAACGATAAAAGCGATTTTTGTTTACCATAGGTCAGTGACCCCTGGCTGGCCAAATTTACCTATCATCACAAAATAAACAATAATTAACAACAAAAAACAGCAGGCTGGGGCAGTGTAATTTGAAGAAAAAAGAAAAATTATGTTTTTGCCTGGGAAAATTTAAAAAGGTCTTAATTTGGTATTTTATGAAGGCTACGTTACCTATTATAATTTTATGTTATTACGTTATTGCCTACTAAATTTGAGCGGTAATGCGCGGCGATCCCGATCGACCCCATTCGATTCTCCGATCCACCAACTAACGGGCTGTGTGCAATTGTGCCACCCAAAGGTCAGTGCAAATTGCAATGGCAGAAGTGATACAGTATACCAAAGCTATTAAATTAGCATGAGCAATATAACAGATTAATTTGGGAGTTTGACAAAATATTTTTCCTGTGAATCCGTGAATCGGTGTTTCTGATATATACTTTACAGTGGCTGATAAGCTGGGTTAGCTAGGTAAGTGATTTAAGCCCGGTTTAGTCAGCTTATAGCCTATAATTGCACTGTTCTACTTTTTTAAAGATTCCAATAAGTCGCAATAACAGGCCCTAGACCACTGGCCCCAACTACAAGGGGGCATTGGGGCAGGTGCTCCCATGAGCAACCTCTCATGGGTGCTCGGAGCTCTCGTAGAGAATACGAAAGTACAAACGTATTTAATGGTCATTCCGTTTCGTGTGGTAATATCAGTATCATGTACACTTGGCCAAACATAAAACTGGTACAGGCAATATATTTTTTCCAAATTTGCCTAGTGTGAGTCAGGCTTAACTACAAAAAGTCTGTTCTGAAAAACTTAGGTCAGACAGTTTTTGTCAAAGATGAACAAAGGTAAAATCTGTTTTTTTTTTAAAGATAAAAGTCAAATTGACATTATGTTGGCAATACAATGTAAAATTTTCAATGCTTTTAAATTTTTATGTAGAAAAGGCTTGTATTGCCAACATATTGTTTGCCCAGCGGTTCTGAGTCTACGGAAGGAATTCGGACGTAAATGTGGGATGTTGCCACGTTTAATTATAAAAAAGCGAAAATACTAGGCATGTATAGTTCATTTGAAAATCCATTTTTTAATAACAAAATATAGATACCAAATATAACGCTGAATATTTCAACGTGGATCTTAGATCTATTCTTATCCTAATAACTGATTTCTTCAATTTTGTCCATTGTGAAAAATAAACATTTTCTAAAGATACCATCAGCTTTTGACAATTTGGCAAGCATCCGGCCTGGATGAACCTGATTGGTGGAGTTTTTGGCAGGATCGCCGTTGCCATGGGGAACCATGCGGTTGTCAATGAGCTAATGTCACCTTACGTCTCACTATTGGCTAGGAAATATTTCCGTCATTTTATCCTCCCATCTTGGAATATCAATTTATATTGAAATATCCAGTGGCGGGGGTTTGGTCATTATCGATTTTCGTGTACGAGTTGCAATACGATAAGACTTCCAAAAAGTTCCGCACGCAGCTGGGTATTTTATGAATGAAATCAGCCATTTTTTTTTTTACATCTGCATTCCCCTTACCGTTGCCCCGTAGACACAAAGTCGTTGGGCAGACATTAGTTACTAAATTTTTGACTTGGGAAATTATCTTTAAAAAAAAAAACAGACTTTAAATCCTGCGTTTTTATTCTCATCAAATTTTACCGATGGATCCACCATTCTATGTCGGTCATTGTCATTTTCCATTTACTAAATAAAGATAGCTAACTCATCGGTGAATTCACCGGTTATATTTGGTTAAAAGATGATACTGACTTGACCCTTTTTGTCATTTTTGAGGTGATAAAAAAGAGGTCGATTCACTCAATACAACACAATGGGAAAATATGTACCAGTTGTATGATTGGCCAAGTGTACTTGATTGAGACAAGAAGAAGTTTGAGATTTACCAATTAGAAATTGTTCAAATGTTGCTTTGCAAGTGTCACATTCATTTTGCCTTTTCGTTTGAATTTTGCTTCGCAAGTGTCACATCACATTGTCACATTCATATTGCATTTTTGTTTAAATTGTGTCACTACTTATGATAGTTCATATTTTGATTATTACCGGCTCCTGATCATCCTCATAAAAATGATGTAACAAATGGAAATTTTACTTGGTACCTATTTAGGTCAAGAAGAAGTTTGAGATTTACCAAGTAGAAATTGTTCAAATTATGCTTTGCAAGTGTCACATTCATTTTGCCTTCTCGTTTGAATTTTGCTTCGCAAGTGCTACATCACATTGTCGCATTCCTATTGCATTTTTGTTTAAATTGTGTCACTACTTATGATAGTTCATATTTGGATTATTGCCGGCTCTTGATCACCCTTGGAAAAATGATGTAAAAAATGAAAATTTTACTTGGTACACTTGGCCAAACATTAAACGTACAGGCAATATATATTTTTCAAATTTGCCTAGTGTGTCAGGCTCATCAATAAAAAGTATCTTGTGAAAAACTTAGGTCAGACAGTTTTTGTCAATGTCAAAGCTGAACAAAAGTAAATGCAACATGTTTTTATGTTATGTTTGGTTCAAAGGTGACTCTTTTCGTTATTTTTGAGGTGATAAAAAAGGTTGATTTACATAATACAACACAATAGGAAAATGCGTAGCAGTTTTATGATTAGCCAAGTGTATGTAATTTAAATTTACACAACTTTGTATAAGAATTATACAAGTCGAATTAGTCTTAGATTAGGGAGGTATTAGTATTTTGTCCTTTCGTTATTTGTGGTCATTTCTATGCTCTATTACTTTATATTGCTAATGTTGCTATTCTCCATCTCTATTCTTTGATAATAATCGGGACATAAGGCATTTTAGGACATAAAAGTAACAGGCATCTGTTCACTCCTCGCTTTTTAATGATGTGATATTTTCATGGCCTAAAATGCGTGCAAAAAAAAGCACTTTTCGCACGCTCGTAGAAAAAAAAAATGAAAAAATATGTACACT